AACCAACAAAGTTCACAAAGCTGTGATCCTCCAGAAAAACATCTCAGCTGAGGGTCCCTTAACCACACTAGTGCTCTGACAAGCTTCTTCACTAGCCAAGCTGCAGAGGAGTCTGAAAAGTTAGTGTCAGAGAATGCATAAAATCAAAATTGCTTGGGTAAACGTTAAGTAGTGCCCAAGAATTGCATGGTGTAGATGCACAATGAAACTTCCTTTGAAACTCGCCTGGAGCAGAAGAGTGTGCGAGACAGTGAGGTTATAACTGGACTGTCCATTCTGCTATCAAAAGCATGGCTAGCATGTATCTTGCCTATTTCCTGCAGAGTGAGACAGTTAGAGCAGGTAGAAGTATACATTCCAATGAGCCTGTGATGATCTACATCAACTGAAAGTGTACTCCTCCAGCAGGTAAGTGCCATGGAAAGAAAGGAACTCAGCTACCTGTTTGTGGCTTGATAGAGAGAAGCCAAGACCTGGGAGAAAAATAAAAATAAAAATAAAAGGCACAGCAGGCAAGGTACTGTACAGTAGAGCTTCAGTGCCTCTGCTTTCATACAGAGGTGAGGGGTGAGTGTCTTTGCGATAATATAGGCTGTAGATGTCACACACCTCCTCTCTCCCCCCGTCAGCAACTCCTCTGACTATGCCTGACTGGACTATCCTGAAGAGTCTTTGACTCATTCAGTCTTCACCGTTACAATATTGCTTGGGATTATGTAAACCTGTCCTTGCTACCTTGCACAATAGTGCTTCAATGCACTTTGCGCCATATCATGCTTTGCACTACATCATTGTGTACTAGCTATGGTACCGTCGATGGGAACCTTGAAATTTGTACTTCTTATTGCAGTCGTTGTTCTGGATGATCGCTAAGGAAACAAAGTTGATAAACTCTGATTCAGTTCTGCAGTCTCTCTTCTTGCTGAACAAAATATTGCCCCAAATATTTTAGTGGGCTCATTGAGCTACTTATCTGAGTAACAGCTGCAGAATTAAGCCTGTGGTCCGCTACAGGAATTGCTCGGGCTTTATTTTTAAAATGTATTTGCAGTGTATGAAATGAATGCTGAATCCTAGTTCCATTTCCCAGTGTAGAGCCTGTTATAAATCAATAGAGATTGTCCAGAGGCTGATGCATCCTGCAGGGTGTGCTTTACTTCTGAAGTGCTGGGGAATTCTGTGCACTCCCCACTGAGATTCACTGTTTTTTTAATGGTGGGCTCTGGCTGGCAGTATCCACTGCGTCTCAGTTTTAAAGATTTGGAATCAAAACTAGAGGTGAAATGTTATTTGAAAATAAATAAATAAAGAGGACTCATGAGTGTTTTTTCTCAAACCAGAAGGAACTTGATCTCAAGAGGAACTTAAATGCTGAGGGTTCTCTAGAAGCTGATGGGTTACATTCCTTAAGTCAGGAAATTTTGCTGGAGGACAATAATGTGAATTATTCAGGGCAAATGATTCAGCTTTGAAAACAATTTATTCTGGTAACAGACTTTGGAATTTTAGCAGGCTCAGAATTGGAGGAGCGATCCCCATTAGGGGAAGAAAATCCCTGCACTGGGGATAAATCTTTTTATAAGGACTTTATTTTTAGACTACTTGTACTCTGGGAAGAGCGCCAAGCCAAAGTTATGAAAATCCTTGTATTTTGTAATTCTTCAATGAAACCATTCATTGCAAGCAATGAAACCCTTCGAGAGAGGAATACTTCAAATTCAGACGTTACCGATAACCTTTTTAGCAAAACGTGGTCAAATTGTTTTAAATTTGACTGCCTAAAGTTAAGTTAATCAATATTGAGGCACGTTTGCAAAAGAAAAAAATTTGTAACCAGCGTAACCAGGCTCACCAAAGAAGTTTGTGTGGGTTTCACTCAAGTCGTAAGAGCTGCAAATACCCAATATCTCTGACAGTCTGAGTGTTCTTATGCAGAACCCTATGTTCAGCCACACAGTAGTGAAAATGGCCTCATCTGTTAACAGTCAGGACAAGCATGGTGAAAATGGGATTTTATTTTGATGGTAGACTTCTGCTGTAGCTGGTTTTGGATCTGCAGATCTCTGATTCTCTCCTACCCTTGATACAGTGCATTGTGTAAACTTAAATTTTCAGATGGTCAAGCATAGGACTGATGGTAGCTTTCTCATGGAGAGTTCCTGCTGCTTCAAGTCATTGTCAGAAAGAGCTGACAAGAGAAACCAGATACTTTTCACGTACTGTTCACCAGGGCTGAGCATGTTGCTTTTGTATCCAGAAGAGGAGGATGGGAGTTTCACCTGCTCATGGAAGCTAGAGATTTCCAGACAAAGCTGTGAAGAAATGCTGTGCAGAGAGTAACAAAATTCAGACAGCTGACTGGGCTGCTAAAGAAGTTAAGTTAAACCTCTGCCACTGTCTGTGAAAACAAAACCATAATTGCACGTTGGATGTTGGCCCTTTGGAGCACTCTGAAACATCAGATAGGCATCAGATATTGCTGGATTGCAAAGTCTGAATGCATACAGGGTGCTGATATGGTATTTAACAGTAAGAAAAGTTCACACTCAGATCATCTGAGTATGTTTAAGTGCTGGATTCTGCAATTAGCTGAATACCTGAAAATTATGTTTAGTTGTGGGTGCTTGGTAACTTACAGGGTTACTCTTTTAATAGAAGAAGCCAATTAAGGCTTTAAAGTGCATTTCTGAAATGGTGCTGAGTACTCTTACTGGCTGTGTGTTCAGCATCGCTCCTGTTCTGTGAGTAATTGGTGCTTCCTATCAGCAGTGGTGGTGTGGCTAGGACCGACAGGGCACAGGCATGTCTCAGCTCCGGGTGCTCACCTCTGGTGTTGCTCTGACAAAACATTCAGTCCTAAAGCTGAGCTCTGCAGACTCTCCCAAACGTGATAGAGGTGGTTACTTCCTTTTTCCTGTACTGCAGCGCCATAAACGTTGAGTATGCAGCTGCTGAAAGCTCTAGCAACGTTCAGAGATTACATTAAAAATAAACTAGTCAAAATTAGGCATCCTAGCCACATCCCTCCCTCCCCCTTCCTTGTCTCAGCCTCCCAAGTTCTGGTCAATGAGTGGCCTTTGGTAGGTAATTAGTTCAGCCCATAGCAGACGAAGGCGAGGGGTAGGCTTCTCCAAATATCTTATCTCCTCGCTAACTCTTCTTTAAACAGCATCGCAGCAGTGAACAGACCAAAAATGAATTCCTTTCTTCAGGCAGAACTTGGTGATTCTTCAGCATAATTGAGCTGTGAAGTTAGCCCTGCTAGGAGCAGAGGGTTTGGTCGGATGACCTAAAACTCCAGCTAAACTCTTCCTGTGATTCTGTGCTTTCTGTCTACCTGGTCACCCTACCAAGATAGCAGGAAAGGAACCAGTTCTGACGCAGGACCTGAACAGACCCTGTTCAGAGCAATGCCTGTGTGAAGGTGCTGTGTTGCGAGCAGAGATCGCGTATAACTAATTGTGCCATGCAGGCATAGTCGTTGCTGCCTAGAGCGAGGCAGACGTGGGAAGGGACAGTGCAACAGCTAGTACAGAATCACAGAATGAATGAGGTTGGAAGGGACCTCTGGAGATCATCTAATCCAGCTCCCCTGCTCAAGCAGGGTCTTCTAGAGCACACTGCACAGAATCGCATCCAGGCGGGTTTGGAATATCTCCAGGGAAGGAGACTCCACTACTCTCTGGGCAACCTGTGCCAGTGCTCTGTCTGAACCCTCACACTAAAGCTTATCGTCCTGTTCAGATGGAACTTCCTGTGTTTCAGTTTGTGCCCGTTGCCTCTTGCCCTGTCACTTGGCACCACGGAGAAGAGGCTGGGCTCATCCTCTTGACACTCCCCCTTCCGATACTTGTACACGTTGATGAGATTCCCCTCTCAATCTTCTCTTCTCCAGGCTGAACAGGCCCAGCTCTTGCAGTCTTTCTTCAGAGGAGAGATGCTCCAGCCCTCTCATCATCTTGGTAGCCCTCCGCTGGACTCTCTCCAGTAGGGCCATGTCTCTCTTGTCCTGGGGAGCCCACAACTGGGCACAGTACTCCAGGTGGGGCCTCCCCAGGGCTGAGTAGAGGGGCAGGATCACCTCCCTCGACCTGCTGGCAACACTCTGCCTAATGCACCCCAGGATCCCATTGGCCTTCTTGGCCACAAAGGCACACTGCTGGCTCATGCTTCACTTGTTGTCCACCAGCACTCCCAGGTCCTTCTCGGCAGAGCTGCTTTCCAGCAGGTCAACCCGCAGCCTGTCCTGCTGCATGGGGTTATTCCTCCCCAGGTGCAGGACCTTGCACTTGCCTTTGTGGAACTTCAGGAGGTTCCTCTCCGCCCAGCTCTCCAGTCTCTCCATTACAGTGCTCTAGAGATATCAGACGGTGAATGCTGTGACTAATGGCCGTGTGTGTTCAGCATGGCACAGTTTAGATGACTGGAGTTGTGCAGGCAGACGTGGCGTAGGAGGGAGGAGGTCTGGAAGGCTGCCTTTTGTTGCTTGGACACTCCCCACTGCTATTACTAGCTCCACTTTGAGTGAAGAAGCTCCCAGATAGCATATATGACTTTATTTCCCGAATATGGTACTCTTACTCTTAGTTCTCCTCACTGACTCACGTGACTTAAAGCTCCTGCCAGATTTTTCAGCATGAATATTAAGAAGAAATACAGCATTCTTTTTTGGAAGATCCCTTCTGAGAAGCTACTTGAAAAACCTGTCAGTTTTATTTCAAAAACTTCGACTTACTTTACAGTGTCTTTTAAAATAGAGCTTCAGAAAACCTCGGTTCTTCCTTATCCTGTCTAATCCATTCTGGTAACCTACCATTTCTTAATTTTTGGTAGATCAAGTTTTAGAATAAGGAATGCACAGAGCGTTCATTTTACATGCGGTGTTTGGAAACAATACAGAACAAATCTTTGGAATAAAAAAATAGTGTAACAACTGCCAACAAGTAGATCACCTTTAAAAAAATACAGAGAATTGTTTGGTTTGCAAGAATATTGTTCTGTGAGTCACTGGAAGATGTTTAAAGGCGTTAAAACGTTTCTGGAAAGTCAAGAGAGACAGGTAAGATCTGTGAAGACTGAAAAGTGTTTGCTTGCTTGTAGTTTATTTTATCACTGCTTCTGAACAGGGATATTATTTGTTTTTTCCTTATTAATGTCTATTTTTTCATATTTCTTTTGAATAATGTTTTCTTATGTTTTAAAATGCACCCAGCCACAGTTGAGGATGGAGAGGTGTGTAGGATTGTAGGCAAAGTTGTGGAAAAATATTACATGTTGCATTGATATGGTTGGCACACATCTGTCTCAGGATGTGCTGCCTCCAGTGTCTCGGTGCAGAGTTCTTTCTCATTCACTACCAATTCAGAAGCACGCTAATTTATCCTTTTTTTTTTTTTTGTTCTAGGGCATTTGCATGTTAAAGGAAGTCAAGAAAAAATGTCCAAATCATTAAAAAACTACATAACAATTAAGGTAATCTATTATTGTGGATTGAAGAAATGTATGTTTTTAATAGATAAATGTTAATCATAGCCTTCTTTTGTGAAAACAGTTGAGCATATGCTTACACTGCAGTGAAAGAACTGCATAAGTAGAGTAAGAGTGTTTTTCTGGTGCTGACGTACTTGTTAGTCTGCATTTGAATATAGGAAACTTGCTCTGACTCAGACGTTGTTTGTAACTTTGGAGTTGAGAAGAAAAGGATGTAGTTTGGTTCTGTTCGTAAAAACTGAGAGTCTTTGTGAACTGCCTGTAGTTCTCAGTTCTAACTGAGCTGAGAAGAGTTTGCAGAAGAAGCGTTTGTGCCTGATGTCAGGTGTATTTATTACATAATGCATTTATTACATAAATGGGTTCTCTTCTGTATGCTCTTAATGTTCTTACGTACTTTTGTGACTGCTTACAAAAGAGTAGATGTTTTTCCTTGTCCTGCTTTAGGCTAGATGGGACATAGTCTCAGCATTTTGTCTGGTACTTACCAGGTATCCTGCAAGTGCCCCATTGTACTAGTCTCTTGTATTTTCCTTTATTCTTTACTGTCACCTTCTTGCTGATGCATGCCGAGCATTGTCTTTTAGTGTCAACAGGTGGCATGGATGTGTCCTGTTTACTATGTCAAAGAGAAGGAAGCTTTTACCAGAAACAGGTTTCTAAGTTCACTGAAGCAGGGACTTCTGGTATTTCCTTTTTTTTTCCCCTAAAGGCTCATGAAGAGGTTGAAGCAAAGTTTTTGAAGTAGCACAGAGCAGAGTTTCTCTGTCATCATATTCCTGATTCAGCTGTAGTTAACACTAACTCGGCTCCGCTGATGGCTGACACCTATTGTTAGAAGTGGGTAATTTTCTTCCTGTAGGCACAGCTTAAGAGGCTGTTGGAGCACATATGTTCCCCTTTGCCCTCTTGGAAGACTAATTGACATCTTTTAAAAACAGAGTTCTGTTTGAGCCGCTTTGTTCTTAATTCTGCTGATGTTGTCTGTGTACAGTTAAGCCTTGTCTCCCCTGGGAAAATTACCTGTCACTCACAATTTTGACAGAAATTTCCTGAGTCTGAGCAGATGTTGTAGACAGAGTAGAGAAATGACCATTAATGCAACACGTGCAATTAAAAAAAAAAAAAAAAGTTGAAACATTCCACTCCATTTTTCTAGTGGGATTTCTTTGTATTGAGAAAAACAGTGTGTGCGAGGAAAACAAAAATTTCTTTGTAGCAAGTAGTGATATGCTTAACAAAAAATTTCAGGACCAGAACTCTTCCCTTGTGGGTCTCTTCTTTTAATTTCTGTGTTTAGACACGGTTAACAAGGATTAATCCTTTCCTGTAAGTAATTTTCAGTCCAGTGAACCACATTTCTTCCTGTATAGTCTTTCTGCATCTTGAACGTTAAGCCCCATGTGGAACTTTTTACATGTGCTCTGAAAAATTCAAGGCCTAGATGGTACCTAGGGCCTTTCTTTTGTCCCCTGTGGCAGCAAAGCGCTGAATGCATTCCAAGTAGTCAGTGAGGCATAGTTTTTCTTTCCTGCAGCCATGCTGGATGCTCTTAATCCAGCAGTGCTATTTTCCTGCCCCCTATTTTCCCTCTCTGGTTTTTTTAAATAGCTATTAAATCTGACCCCCAAAATCAAGTGTGTGGGTATAATGCACAGCCAAGCATCCTACTTTGAAAGAGTTAAGAGACTTACTTTCTCTGTTCTTCCCAAAGTACAAAAGTGATTTTCCAGTTTGGATTATCCCTTCCCAAATTCAAAGTTTGCCTCAATAGAATTTATTTCCTTACTTTATTCATATTGTTCACCCTCTGTATGCTAACATAAAGCCTCCAGGCACATTGAGTACATTCACTTACACAGAGTTTATGGAAAAGTCTGTTTACTTTCGCAGTCTGTTTCTTGATTTAGCTTGTCTTGATTGCCTCAGTTATTTCTGTTTTCATTTGGGACATTGCACACTGCCATACGTTTTACTACCTTCATTCAGTGTTCAGGCGATTTAAATTTTGTAGCTGAAGCTAAATTTTGAGATGTGCATCCTTAAGTTCATGATAGTTTCCATATTTTTCTTTCTGGTACTGACTTTTCCTTATGCCTTTCTATTTCAGTGGAACTTTTTAAAATCAGAGAATTGATGATAGTAAGTTTGTAGCTATTACTATTACCAATTTACTATTTAAAAAAAAACAGGAATGAAGTGGTCACACTTAATTTGCATTGTCCAGCCTTCTTGCTGAAAGTGGAGTTGTCAAGTGATTGGATGTTTTAAAATGTGCCTCCCAAGCTTTTAACTACTTCAAGTAAATGAAATTATTTGTAGCAATAGTAAAATGTTTTTTAAAGCTAGCTGAATATTAAGATGAAATTACTAAGCTTTCGTAACTTACATAAGTAAATTCAAGCAATATAGGAAAAAAGGTTTTTTCCATTCACTCCATGCGTTCCTTCATTTTCTAGTCCTACACAAAAAATGATACTCTTACTTTCTTGGAAGAAGTTTAATACTTTTTTTTTTTCCATAAAATTTGCAAAACTTGGGAGTTGCCCTTCCCTGCAAGACTGTATCCCAATCTTAGTCCAGTAATTTAGGTTTATTTTTACCAATAGTCTTATTCAGGGTACGCTTGATCATAATTGCAAAGTATTTTCCTGCATCTTGCATTTGTGATTGACATTATTTGTATCTTGTATGTGTGTATATTTATATATAAATGTTTATATGGAATTAGCTTTTATTCAGTTTAGACTTTAAAGCTTTAAGCCTATCTCAAACTACGAATATGGGATATTTATAATTAAAGTTAGTTGATCTGAAATAGTCCATGGAACTAATGAAAGAGGGGAGAACAACTCAATAAAAAGTTGTTATTAGGTATATTGCTAAAGTTATCTTTTTGTTGATGGAGTTTAGGATTTTCTTCAGAAATTTTCATCCGATGAATTCAGGATGTTTTGTTTGCGCAGCAGATACAGCTCAGGTAAGAAAAAAAGAGAGTTCTTTGTTAAGATACGCATGCCTTTTCACACACACTTGCCAAGTGCTGAGGGTCCAGGGGTGCAGTGAAGTGGGTTTCTTCCTTGCAATGCCTTAAAGTTTCCATTTTGTAAGTGGAAAGATTCACTGTGCTCTGTAGGGTGGCTCTCAGGCTGTCATTTAGGAAGGTGTCTTTACTGAGGACAGTACTTAAGCATGTGTCTAAATACCTTCCTGAATTTCAGTTAATTGCAGCTCTCAATTAATTACACTTTCAATTAATGAATTACCTCCATCTCTGATTTGCATCTGTTGTAGTCAGTTACATTTCAGTCATGATCAACTGTACGTGGAGAGAGATCTCGGTAGAGCTTCACCTTATATTCCTGTAGGGTATGACAAGGGCTTCCTAATAGTTTTTTATTTCCCTGCTGTTGTATGATTTGCCCCGTGGAGTTACTCAGCGTTCAAGGAGTTCTGTGGCACAGTGAAGTTCGCTTACATGAACACTTGATAAACTAATGATCATCTTAAGTTGGCAAAAACTACTGGCAGGCAGAGGTGTGGGGGAATTTGGTTAGCTTCTCTGTCTACGCTGGACTGCTTCCAACATGCAAATGCTACTTTTAACCAAAAGATATTTTTATACAGATAGCATTTTTATCAGCTATTGGTACTTGCCAGAAGAGGATGGCAGTTTCGTAACTGTTGTCGGATCATCTGGTTTGTTGACGCTCTTAGTATTGTAATGAGATGCTGGAGCACGCTGAAACACCTGCTGTGTTATTTAAGCAGGCCTCTAGACACCTCAAATAAAGCACCTCTAGCAGCAAGACTGGGAGAAGTGCTGTGGTCACGGTTCTGTCACTTTGCCAATATCTGTCGGTATGTGACATGCTGTGAATCTTTGTGGATGTGCAGTTCTCGGACTGGGAGAACTTGCTTGTTAATACCTCGAGCTGCTTGCAGGAACTACCTGTGTGATCTTCCTGGTGGATCCTCACTCTTAGAAGGCAGATGAAGGTGTTAGGAATGCTGTGTATTTCTGAAATATTTCAAAGAATGAGACAGCAAGAGACTGCTGATTCTTGATTGCCAACCTCCACCATCCAAAGGGAAGGGCAAATTTTGGAGGGAGACTTGCTGCCAAATAAGTCCGCATTTGGGGTCGGAGAGGGGAGGCAGGTAGCGGAGAGTGCTGCTGCTATGGGGTGAGGCAGCAAGGATGGTGGTATGCCTGACTGTTTCCTCAGGGCCTCTGTCAGAGGACAAAATAAATTGTGAACACGTAAATGGCTCTCTGACTGCAGCTGGAGGCACTTGGGAGTCTTGAGCAAATGAGTTTTTAAAACAAAAAGAAGAAAAAAGGATAAGACCTACAACACTATCATATATGTTTGTTCTGTAAACAAAAGCTGAACGGCTAGAAATTTCTAAGACTGCCCCTGGGGCAAGGAATGGTATTGACAGCTCTGCAACCGCGAGCTGCCTGCACACCCTTTACTGCTGCTTGTGAACTAGCCACATTTGAGCCAATTTAAGACGGACATGACAATTTTTTGCTTTACTTACAGGTTAGATATCTTCCCGCGCTTCTTGAAGCAGAACAGAGCGCTACTTGTGCAAATACAGGTGGCTTTGATAAAAGGAAACTGGTGTTATATCAGAATATGCTACCAGTGAGCCACAGAGCAGATTCAAATTGCTTGAAGGCCTGCTGTGCTTGCCACATTATGAGGCAGGATGCAGTGCCAAAAACAAGGCTATTGTCAGATAAACAGCTGAAGTCAGTCCCCTCTCTTGAGTCAGGTATTTACTATGCGATGTGTCAGTGTGTGTTCATGCTATCCGTTTAGTTTGGTTGAAAGATGAAGTTTAAGTGCGTTCCTCTTTGTCTCGCTTTCTGCTTCCTGAGTACGTTTATTTGAACTGAATACCTGAGCACCTTCTGTTTGTTCCTAGTTATGTGATAACTTGGATCACAGACAAAGCATCTGATTATAAAATCTGTTGGCTGTGCAAGTAACGTTACTGCTGATCATGAGATTTTGCTGATGCACCTCTTTCTCAGAATGGATTGATCTCACTCATCCTCTGAGGAGCAAGCCAAAGGAGAGAAAAGCTCTGCTCTCCTATCTTTCACGGTGTGTCCTTGCAGGGGGATCGCTTCACTCAGTCGCCTTCTCTGTCTGCTCAGAGCATGTGAAAAACAGCCAGAGGGAAGGAGGAAGAGGGCCTGCTGTGTTATCCAGTGATGAATGGGCTTTTATGTGTGTGCTTCTTTGACAAGCTTGGTTACTCCCTGCCTTCTTAGAGCTCTGGGCACAGAGGCTGGAGCTCAGTGTCAGTGGACCCAGTTTGGTGGGGAAGAATTGGTCTGGACTAATCTGAGTGCTGGGAGCAGCGATGGTGCTCCGGGCCTTTTGCTTCCACTGCAGCTGATATGTGTAGCCATCCCCCTCTTGACCTAGATCATCACAGTTTGGTGCACTTGAGGCTGTTGGGAAAAGGTGTTTCCTAAGTGTATCAGGCAGCAACGAGAGGATGGTACCCCACCATTAGCATACACTGCTGCCAGTGCCTGGAGTGCTGCTGCTGGGTGCAGTTTAAAGTGATAGATGCTGTCTCCGAAGCTCTATGGGACCCAGTTACGGGCCGCTGCTTTTCTTCTTGCATGCCATCAGAGGTGGCTTGGCTTTTGCTGTTACCTGGAGGTGCTGTAAACCTGCTGTAGACATTGGGTTTCTGTCCTGAAAACACTGCTCATCTCTGGAAATAGGTTCAGTGAATTTGTGATTTTAAATGAACTATAACATTTTGTTTGTTCTGGTCTTTAATTGCTAGTAGGTCCTAATAAATGTTCTGTTATTTTGAGATTTGATCATGTAACATTGATGCATTCGGCAGTAAAAGAGGGAAAGATTAGGGGGTGCAATGAGAATTTCTAGAACTAGGCTTATTTGTGCTGAACTGTGCATTTGCAGTAACTGTAAATGGTAGTTTAGAAGAATGCCATAAATCAGAGAAGAAGAATGGCTTTAACCAAAGTGGGCTTCATCAGAAAAAAACTTTCATCAGGTATTCCTCTTGGAGTTCCTGTAACTAACCGGAGTGATCAGTTTAGTAATCGTAGTGGATATAAACGATCTCTTTCAATATCTTATTTTTAAAAGTCAGTACATCAGTCTTTTTAAAAGTTTAGTAAAGCTTAATTTTAAAACAGATGTTATTGAGACAGTAATGCAGATTTTTAATGGCACACAGTGGAAAATCTGACAAATACAGTGTCAGATTTGTGCCTTAGTTATGCTGGGGTAAATCCTATGGAAAGTCTATTTAAATAGGCTTTGGAATTTGCTGATGGAACTGAGATCACGTCTCATATCTGGCTGCTGCTGCTCCCTAAATTCTGTCCGCTCGCTCAGTCTTCTCTAAAGGCTATGTGACTGTATAGTGTTGGGTAATTGTGCAAAACAGTCAGCTATGTGTGCAGGGCCAGAACTGAGATGGCTATGGAAACTATAGGTCATGCTGAGTGCTGATGAGATTAGGAATACAGTGTGATCTGTACTTTGGATGTATGTTAGTGCAGCGATCAGACATAAAATAGTGAAGTGGCATTACACTGGCTGTGTTTACTCCAATGTGATGTTGTAAGAAGGAATACATTTAAACTTGGACCTGTCCTTGGTGAACCCAACTTCTACCAAAGTCAGGTGAGCTGTTTTGTGTGAGGTCTGAGTTATGCTCTCTTGATGGTCCTTTATAGGGAACTTTTCTATTGGTAAAGTAATGCGCAATTTCCTATTTGTGAAGACAGCTCTCAGGAAAAGTGCCAGTGGACTAGTCCAGAACTTGCACTTTTAAGGGCATAGGCAAAATGAGAGGAACCCTGCTTAATACTGAATCAGCAGAAGTAAATATTGGTAGTTCCCCAAGCTTAATTGAGTAATAAAGCTAGAATCTCTTTGAATACGGTAGCAGCGTCCATAATATAGGTATGGATGCATATTGATGTTAGCAGAGGGAGGCTAGTGTAGTCTTTATAGTTGGTGGGGAAGAAGCACCCTAGGGTTAGGGTATAGCATATCTCAATGTAATCTAGCGCTCTACTTAGGATAAGGTGAATCGTTTCACGTATACAATTTTCTCTTTCTTTCCACTGACTATAAAGAGAGCCCAGATCAGCTGGGCTGAGAGGTAGCTTTGTAAGTTGTGTGATGAGTCCTATTCCAGGTACACACTTACAAGTTTACGCAATTTGTATTTTCTTTAGAAGTTGCCTTAGAAAGTTAATATGGCAGTTGAGCCATGATATTGTGAACGTATGGTATACCAAGTGCAGTATCTTAGCTGCGAAATTTAGGTGCATCTGCATTTTAGATGCTGCTGAAGCAGTCCTTTAACAACGAATGCCTGTGTTCCTTACAGAGTCAGTGTCAAGGGTTAGGTGTCTTTGGAAGTCTCCAAAGACAGGTCATGTGTACCTAAATTAGAATAGGAATGAAATTAAGGGGAAGATCAAAGGTGTATCTTCCATGCTTAAATCTGAGGGGATGATTAGAAATATGTCCAATCCAAGTACTTGTACTTTGGAGTAATAACTAGGCAGAAAGATGCAATACTGAAAAAAACTTTTAAATCACCCACCTGTGGCTTCAGTAAGCTTCCAAACAGTCTTTGAATCAATCTAATTGCTTTTCAGTAGGTTATACTTGGTCATATTTAATGATTGTCTTTTATATTCATTCCATTCACCTGGAGTTCTTAGTTGAATATGCAAGTAACTTTATTATTTATCACAGCAAACTTTTCTCAAAGAACCATATCCTGGAATGGTTATTTCTTAGAATATTGTTCCCATGTACGACAGATAGAGTCCGTCTGTGTCACTCACGGTGCTCTGTGTTGTAATGCCTGAATACAGTTTTTATTTTCTTAGCAGTAGAATTTAGTGACGAGACCATGAATGATGCAAAGCACCTTCTTCAGACAATCTCCTCTTTTATTAAAGATGCAAATGCTTATATAAAAGGACAGCTGGTATGTGACCCTGTTAGGGAAGACGTACTGTGGGAAAGGTAAGTGCATTTCTTATATCTTAAAGGCTGTGATTACATGAGCAGTAATTTGCAAATTGCTGACTGGCTCAGAGGGCTGAAGTTCATAGTGAACTGCGTACTGTTTAAGAAGCAGAGCAAGAAGAGGGACTGAGAAGCCTTGTTCCCTGCCACCCAGCACCAACGGTTGCTTTCTTTACTTTTTCTAACCAGCTGCTTTTCCTTAGTCAGTTACAGTTTGTTCATAGTATCCTTAAATTACATGTTGCTTATCTAGCGTGCCAGCCATAACTTAAGCATCTTTGTACCTCTTGACTGATGTAAAGGGAAAAGCTATGACAGATTTTGTAAAGTGACTCATGACATACATAGAACTGTATATGAGTAACTGAAAAGGAAAGAGAACAACTGGAAAGTAGTATCTGTCAAGCATGTTAAAGTGTAATCAGTCTGGCTGGCATTCTGGCATGGAGCAGAGGTCAGAGGAGGTTTACTGGACCCTTGCAATGACAAGGAGAGTCCTTTTTGGAGTCCTTTACACAAATCAGATGTTTTCCAAAATAGAGAGATGTGGATTGTATTGGGTGCAAAGCTGAGAAGGTGAGCATAGTGCTCTGGAATTAAGGTAGCAGAGGGGTTGAATGCTCTGAAGTGACATACAAGCAGCTCTGTGGTACACTGTTAGAGGGGGAATGATCTGTGCTGTAGAAGTGAGAGAGAGCTTCGTTGTGGTGCATGCATGTCTTTCAGCAAAGAGCTTGCAGCTGCACCGACGACGGCTTGTAAGGGGCAGTGGGACATGTTACAAGGGAGGGCAGGTGAGTTAACTGGTTAGGATA